GCAAGTTGTCCAGACACCAGAAGGTCTACAACTGGCTATTGTACCTTTCTGGGAAAATCACTTCTTACCTGGAAGACTAAGAAACAAACCACTGTCTCAAGATCATCATCTGAAGCAGAGTACAGGGCATTGGCAATAACAGTTTGTGAAATCCAATGGCTAAAAGTTTTGCTTGAAGAGTTGAGTGTAAGAGTACCACTACCAATCACTGTTTTCTGTGATAACAGGTCAGCCATACACATTGCTGAGAATCCTGTTTTTCATGAGAGAACGAAGCACATAGAAATCGACATACATGTTACAAGGGAAAGGATCAAGACAGGTTTGATCAAGCTTGAACATGTGAGCACTGTTAATCAGTTAGCAGACATATTCACAAAAGGATTGGAGCAAGCAAGGCTAAAGGATCTGTTGTCCAAGTTGGGAGTCATCCTTCCTGCCACAACTTGAAGGGGGGTGACAGAGTCCATTGAAGAAATGAAGTGGAGAAAGCAGAAGAACTACTCTGCAGAAGAAAGAAGAAGATGAAGACTCGAAACTCCAGCTGGAGAAACGTTTTGAGTAGAGTTCCAGAGGCTTATTTGCTTTAGTGGTGCTGCGCACCGTTTTATCCTAATTCTAGTATTAGCCGTTAAAGAACAGTGTTTATTTAAACACAGCCAGTCGAGATGTGACAAGTGGCTATTATCTGTAAACCCAATTGCAAGCTGATATAAAAGGATGCAGAGCAGCTTACTGCTGACTCTGTACATTTCGGCCAAATTCTTAACCTAGCACTTGAAAATCAACACTCTCGGTTTATCTTCTCTCGGAAAACCCCTTCTTTGCTTCTTTGGTATTCTTTTTTTCGGTGAAAGAGCTTCTCTCTGTTGTTCTTCTCTCGCAAAGCAAACTGGAGTTGGAGGAGAAGGAGAAATAAATGAAGGGTAACAGTGACTTTGTGTGCTAAAAAGTGTTTTGTTTTTTCCTATGCGAAAAGTACAATCTCAATTTCCAAATAAAGTATTTTTCAATTTCATACATTGATTCAATCTATCTAATTAAAATACATCAATTGAGAAAATGCATCAATTGAAAGAATCCCAACCTCCAAACAACCCCTTATTACTCTGTTAGTAAGGCTTCATAGAAAGTTTTATAGCTCATGTATACTATCCATGATATCATTAAATATTTGTCCTATTTTCTTTAGTTTATTTTTGAAATCCTGATTGAGGAATTTTTCGTTTTTGCCTCTAGTCTTAATGGAATCATATGAATCATAATCTATGCATGCATGAAGTGGTTCGATGAGTACCTGAAAGTTTGATGTATCTTTTGCCATTAGACCTAGATGATCTTGTTCCACGCGATTGATATAGCTTTGATGCTCTCTTTCGTATTATGACTCATCTAATCTCTCTTCACTGCAGCTCCATGACATTATATTTTCTGTTAGGGCAGTCAACCATAAGATGTCCTGGTATCTACGCCTGGAACAAATGACTACTTTTCTTGATGGTTATGGCATTTTTTACTCCTTCATTTTTATTAGAGCTTCTATTTTTGAACTTCCTATCAAATTTCCTATCAAATTTTTATTAGAGCTTCTATTACTGACCAGATTAGCATTAGTGTAAGTTTTTCCAAGAGTCATTAGACCACTTACTATATTTTCATTTTTACTCATTTTAAATAGAATTCTCATACTAGCATCCTAATCATAGTATATTTAACTTGAGAACCTTCATATGTAATCTCCAGTAGGGGTGTACCTAGGTCGGGTGGTCCTGGTTTAGCCATTTTAATCACCCGACCAATGCACTACGGTTTGGGAAATATTAAACCCAAAACCATCCAAAAAATTAAAATCCTACTGTTTATTTCTAATTGGGTTGGATTGGGTTGGTTATATTTTTAATTAAAAACTCAACCCAACACAAAATATGTAATTATTCTACACCATAAAAACATTTTATAACTAATTAACATTTCAAACGAATAAACCGGGGTGAAAGGTATCAAAATTCACAAATGTTGTTTAAATTTTAATAGAATATGATTTATTACAACAAATGTCTAGTTTTTTTACGATATTTTTTTAAATAGGTTAAAAATATTATAAACGAACGCATTTATAATATGTTATTCTATTAAAATTGTACACAAGAAAAAGGATTATGTGAATCATAGCTATATTAAATCTATGTTTAAACTTTAAGCCGAATAATGCATTAGATTAGTGAGACCATGAGACAAAAACATGGCGAAATATCTTAATTTTCTCATAAGTATGACTATATACGACATAAATATTTTTTGGATACGAACTCATACCAATAGTTGGAATACAGGTTGGGTCGGGTTCTACGGGTTGTGTAATCCAAAATCCAAACCCTACCCAAAAGAGGCGGGTTGTACAAAATAAAACTCTCACCCAACCCAAAATCTTAGTTTTAGCGATAAATACGAATGAGTTGGGTCGGGTTGGACGGGTGGGTCGGTTTGCGGGTGTGTTTGTTCACCCCTAATCTCCAGGGTGTCCCATATTTCCTTTGCGGTCTTGCACATGACCACTTTACCATATTATTCTCTGTCAAGAGCACATTTAAGAATATGTTTGGCTTTGGCATTAATTTGTAGACTTACCAAATCCTTTTCCAACCAACTTTCGATATCAATCCTAACATGTTCTGGTCCTCTCTTAATATTGATCTAGACTTTCATGTCATAGAATTGTAGGAAATCTTCCATGCAACCTTTCCAAAAGGCATAACTGTTGCAGTCGAGTTTTGGTGGTCTTGTCGCAAATTGTCCTTCAACTTGCGTGATAAGAGCCAAGCGATTCATCAATCATGCTGGCGAACTCGTCGCTTTCATCTTGGATTGTGTTCCTCTTTAGAGACCATCTTTGATACCAATTTTAGAATATGTGTTGCACACAAAAATAGTTTATAGTATAAGATGAACTAACACAGATAATATGAGACAGGTGATTTGGGCTTGACTCACAGTTAAAGCCCAAGAGTTTGACTAGATAGACTTTGGGCCTTATCGTGTCATCTTCAACCTCTAAGAGATTGTTCCTATCGAGAATCACCTCACACAATAGAGAATAGTAGGGAGACAGAAACACGTACACAAGATTTTTTGTTAATAGAGTTCAGCCTATTGCTTTACGTGTTGGCTCAAAGGTGACTTACCCTTTGAAACATAGTGTCTAGGTTTCTATCTTATTCCAATCTAACTCCTAGTTGAGCTCTTGTGTGTGGAACTCAGACCCTTGACAAGAATAGAGCAATATACCCCTTTCTCTCTTCCTCACAAGAACTCGCACTAAAGAGAGAAACTACACCACCTCACAATCACTCAAAAAATATAGATAATGAACCTCTATCACTTCTGATCAGCCACATTCCACGAGGCTTTCCTTGTTGCATAGATTCTCAATGCAACGATCTTATCTTGATCTTTCACTTGATTACGGAGATTCTCAATGGTACGATTTTCTCTTGATCTTCACTCGGTTACGATGATTCTTTCCTACAATCATATATCATAAACATAGAAGGTAATAATACAAGTTTACCTTAGCAGAAAGGGAAAACCTTTTCCCAGCATCATTTCCCACTTTTCTTTACCTGAGTTACAACTCAGCTTTGAAATATTATGTTGGTTTCTATGATGTGCTCAAAATTATATCAATGATCTTTATAGTTCTGGTTTCAACAACACCGATCGAGATAAGTAAAAGGATCCTCAACTGGGATAAAATTTCAAACGAAAGCACAATTATAAAGCATTTCTATACATTAGGGACTGTTTCTGTCATAAACTTGTTGGTCCCAATAACTTGAGTTCTAGGGAGAATGTTATGTTGGATCTTATACCACACTCTTACACGCCCCCTCAAAAGAAATCCAACTCACGAGCTTGAAGTTTGCATAGGCTCACCATACCATGCGCGTTAATCAACTATTATTATTGGGGGTCGTGGAGATTCTAACACACGACCACTTGGCCAAACAAGCTCTGATACAATGTCATAAACCAGTCGGTCCCAATAACTCGAGTTGTTGGGAGAAGGTTATGTTGGATCTTATACCACACTCTTACAGCTGCATCGCCGCAAAGCATGGAGTGTGACATGGGGTGGAGACTGACATCGCAACAATCAATTCTGGAAGATCTTTTGGTACGTCTTCGAGGCGAGTTGACACGATGACACCATAGGAGTTGTGCGAGATTCACAGGGTTGCTTGTTGGGTGCTTATTCCATGAACATAGAAAGGTATTCCATTACCAAAGTCGTACTTAGAGGCGCCATCGAGGGACTAGATTTGGCATGGCGCCTCGTGCTTAGGAAATTGGTAGTGCAACTTAAAATTACTGTTGTGGTGACCTTTCTTTGGAGCAAAGTTGACCAGATCATCAACATGCTTCCCACATTTTTGTAATTCATGTGCTCCTGGAGTGCGACGAGATTGTTCGAACTGCTCACATTTTCTGAGAAGGCAATTGTTTAGCAATTTTTTTAGCTCGCAAGGGTATATCCTTATCCTTGGGAATCCATTCTATTTCTCTACTTTATCCTAATGTTTGATACTGGGCCATGTACTACTTTTTTGGGGAGGCTATGGACCAACAATTTTTCATATGAGGTACTGGTGCTTTGCGCTCATTTTTATATGTGTAGAAATATACCTAGTGGTACTATAACTGATTTTCAACCATAGATCACATGTCTGATTTCCAGGGATGGAATCACCCTCCCTACTAGACCTATTTAGAATATTTTTTGTGGGGAAAATACTGTGTTTGAATTCAATAAATGCACCTGACTTCTTTGGACAACAATCAGATACACAGTTCACACCTTTTCAAACAAAGTTCAAACGAATGTGCTTGATTTTTTTAATGATTTTTGTGAACGATTTTCATTAAATTACTCTACTCAAATGATGGTTTAGTGAGAGCTTCAAAAACCCTTCTTATAGCTACTTTGCAAAGAAGTAGTAAACTTGGCATGTGTGTGAGACGTGTGATCTTATTTTATCTTTGTTTCCCTGTTTATAGCTATCATGTGTATAACTTTTTTAACCGCTCCTCCTACTGCATTGGTGCTTTATGTATCTTGTTTGATTACCTAACCTCCTCTGCTTCCATATAGACCACTTGATACGTTGATGGCTTCATTTGATAGGTATCTTCACCTTTCATAGAGGTGTCTTGATTGATGGTGTTTCCCATTCCCCTATTTGGCATGCTTCTTTTGGGGTCATTCTGGCATGATGGGATGTGGCCATGATGGTTACGTAGCTAGGTTACATGCTTGATACCTGGACCCCCTTTTGACACATGCGGCAGTGCAGTCGAAATTTCGATTTTGTGTAGAAGAATTTTGGTACCTAGAAGCGCAAAAATAAAAGCTTTTAAACTTTAAAGCATGGATTTTGACTACAATTGTAAGTGAAAACCGCAATCCTACATAGAAGAATTTTGGTTACATATAAATGTAAAAGCGTAAGCTTTTAAGTTTTAAAACGTGATTTTGACTACATTGGCTAGTAGGATATTCGAAATGGACCCATCTATGCTAACATCATTCATGGGTCTTTATGCTTGACATGAGAGAGGTGGGGGTCGTCATTTTTTACTATGGCCACCATCTCATGATGGGGGTGACCACATTGGCTTCAAGTACCTTGATGCTCAATGCCTTAATGAATAATGTTTCGAGCTTGTGAATCCATGTTGACCCCCTTGATATTGTCTTGCATGTTTAACACCTAGGCAATCTATAATCTTTGACATGTGGGTGTATGCATGTTTGACACCTTAAGAGTCTTTGATGGCCTCATTGGATAGATATCATGCTTGATACACCTGAGGCCTATCATGCTTGAAATTTTTTGGGCTCCTCGTTATGTAATGCTTGAGGATTCTTAATGAGAAATGTTCATGTTATTGTTTACCCCCTAGATAATGCCATGCTTGGGGTCTCGGTGGTGGGGTATGCGAAGAGGGTGTGAGGATGTTGGCCAGACTGCATGTGGAGGTGTATGCACTAAGCCCTTTAGGATGATGTCATGCATGCTTAAGGATTAGGTGATGAGGGTGTTGATGACCGTACACCGATCCCCTAGCATGACACCATAGATGGTCTAGGACGCGAGTACTGCATGCGCGCGCCGGCCTTATTTATCATCAGTAACTCTCAAGCAAAGATGCGCCCTCACGGGCTTATGATCGGAGCTGTCGATACCGTCGACGGATTCATAAGAATGCAAATTCGCACTCATCTTCTCATCCCTTTCTTCTATCTTGAACAAAATACGATCCGTCCACGACGGCACTCGCACCTGCCATCAATTGATTCACAATTATATTAGCCCTAATTATATACAAGTTCATCATAATTAAGGTGACAACCAAACCAAACCAAGAACCGGGTTATACGGTCTGGTTTCCGGTTAAACTGAAAAATCGAAAACCCCGTTTCCCAACCCTAACTTATGTCAAAACTATTATTGGCCTAAACAATGTCGACATATACCTTGTGGCTAGTATCGTAGTTGCTGCTTCCAGTGTCGTACTTGTAGGTCGGCTTAAACGTCAGCGTGCCTTCGCAGAATCCATCGAAGACCCGTCCTCTCTCGGCTTCTTGCAGCAGTTGATCGTTGCCAGTCAGCATCTGTGTACATTATTGTTCAGTTGAATTGGTTTCAAACAAACTCATCAACAAACTACTAAGCTACATGGATCGATTGATTTGTTTTTGGGCTGCTATAGTATAGTACTTACGGATTGGAGGTCGTTGTGGATGAGTTTCCTGACGGGGAAGTTGTCGATTCCTTGGATCCTGTAGTTGAGATCTCCCAGCCAGACTGTGAGGTGGGCTGGCCTGGAGTAAGGGTTGGAGTTCTTGGAGAAGAGGCTGTGCGTTATGTCCTTGCTCTCCCAATTCCTTTCCTTCACCTTCCCGGCATGAGCTGCATGCATGCACGAGAAACATATAATTAACTTGATAGCAAGGTTGTCAAACCCGCGGGTCGACCCGGAACCAGTCGAGCTAGTGGATCAAGGGTTAATGGGTCACCCGTTCTAGCCCGATTTAGCTCAAAATATGAAAAAAAATCATTATATTGTACTTATTTTGAATCCAACATAAGAAAATAACTGTACTTAAACTCCAACACACTTAAATAACATAAACTAAAATTCAACGACACTTTGGAACGAGCAGCCCGCTGACCCGCTCGGACAGGCCAACCGCCCAGGTTTTACCGGGTCTGACCATTGTCGGGCTAACTCTCAAATAGGCTATTTTACCCGTTTTCAAGGCTGGATCCGGGCCAATCCCAGGTTTTTCCGGGTTTGTTTTACTAATGTATGTCTTTCGTATATCATACGATTTGGCTGTCGGATGCATTTCAAGAAATTAGAATCGTTGATTGTTATTTTCTAATTAAATTGATGTTAGACTTGATAGTTTGAACGTCGTATATAAATTGAAAGTGTATTATAGGTAATTACCAGCGAGGTGGCAGGAGATGAAGACCATTGAAATCCCTTTGTAGTTGATGCGGATTGCCACGGCTCCTTTCTTCCTTCTGGCCATTCCGCCGCAACCTCCCACTGAACGTTTGTCAACCTCCACTTCTGCCATTAATTAATCAATTGATTAATTATTAGTATTTTAATTAATTACGCGCATATAGACGACAAAAATTTGTCAGCAAAATTTGAAACATTTAGAAGATTAATACATACAAAGTACTAATTCACCTGTGAGAAGTAACTCTGAGCTGCGACAAGGACCAAAAACATAGAGCTGAAGCGATTGCATAATGGCCTTCCCCAGCAACCTGAATCCATTATATTCAAACACAACCAAAACCACATAATTAAGACCGGCCCGCCGGGGAACAATTCATCGGTGATGATTCTACATGCATGAATGGCCACAAACAATGCACGGCGCCGTAACCAAATGAAAATGGAACGTACAACTACTTCTGGATAATGAATGTCGTCCACACAATAATGCATATACGTGCACGCGGAGGAAAGGAAAAAGGGTTGCTACAGAATATTGCTGTCCTTCACGGGAACGCAGAAAAGTCTTCGTGAAAAAAAAAATTATTGGTTCCAAGTAAGTTAACTTAAAATTTTTTTTTTTTACATGTTATATCAGTTGTAAAAGATTATTATGGAATTCTTACATAATGGATGCCCCTTTTACGTAATTAATGTTAACCTCGCATTACGTAAAGTACTAAGTCATCAAACAGTGGCGGAGGAAGGATTTCAAACTACTCCTGTCCTCTATTCAAAATATATATAATATTTAATAACTATAATGAAAACTAATAATACCTAAATAATTCATTCATAGAGAAACAAAAAACTGACTAATACAATTATTGTTTGCATAAATAACCAGGACGAGTTTTCATATTATGAAAGAAATGTAAAATGCATTCATTGTTTACGCTCTTAAGTGAGTCGTTTACAATGTATCCTATTAAACAATTATTAACAAACTCATTGCCAATTCGACTTCGAAGCTTATTCTTAATATAGCTCTATCTAATATATGCACTTTTGTCTCCAGTACCATTACTCGAGATAATTCATCAATTCTTTTCAAACCAACAAATCTCTCATCAGCTATAATACCTAACGCGAGCTGTTGTCGAATAATAGTGTCATGAACGAAACCAATAATTTAATTATTTTTTTGTGAATTAATGAACAAGTAATGAGTTATGGTGTAATGTTAAAACATCCTTATGTTACTTGTAAGTGTTTAATTCGATCCGTACAAATATATGTTGGGTTACTTTTTTCCCTCCCAAAAAGTTACCCATGTCCCGGGACAAGGGCAAACACCCCTGGCTACGCCTATGTCATCAAGGAAGTCTTACGTAACGCCTCTGCTTTAACGGTTACGTAAAAATAACTATTATTACGTAACCTTTTACGTAATGGATGTGTATTTTACGTGACAGTTGTAAAGTTTCGTTACAAAAGTCTTACGTAACGCTTATGATGTACCTGTTCTGTAAGAAAGATTTGTCATTTCATAAACTTTACGTAATGAATGTATATTTTACGTAACAGTAGTCGTAAAAGTTCAATAAAAGTGATGACTAATAATAGAGCCGGTTACCACTGTTTTGATATGATCAATGATCTAAATTGATTTTAATATATTTTTCACAATCAATAAGATAGATTCATACTAGTTAGCTAAAGAAAACTCACATGTGAGTGTTGGCGAGAGCAGCCTGCAACAAACGGGCAATGTTTCTGCGAGGAGCTTCCTGGAGACCAACCACCAACAGCTCATACTTCCTCTCCTTAGCATTATGGCTCCCCACCAGCTCCGCCAAATCTTCATAACAAACCTGGCCGTTCATGTTCCACGTGACAACGCAAATGCAAAGGTCGGACTTCTGATCCCCTGAAGAGAATTCGCAGTGATACTCCTCCACGTCCACCGTCTTGATCCCTCTGTGACGATGAGACGAAGACTCTCCCCGCCGCCGCCGCCGTCCTCCCACACTCCCCGCCGCCGGCACAGCAGCTGTGCAGCAGCAGTTCCCCATCGCTTCTCTATGTCTTGCTTTCAGAGGCAGAAAATAATGGAAGAAGTCGGAAGGTAGGACGAAAGTAATCAAATTATATTCTTGGAGGGTTGGTAATTCTGTGCTTTGACGTTTGAGGCTTTGTGAGAAATTTGGGGAATTAGTTTGTCGTGTGGGCATACATGCTTATAGTTTATATACACACGCTCGCATGATAAAAGTCAATTTCTATTGGTCGTACATATATATCTTCGGTCCTACTAATTAATAATGTTGGTTTGTCCTGTGTGTAGACTAATATTGCATTGCGTTTCTTTCTTTTCTCGTGACTATATTCGATCGATCATTGAATTGGACGGCAAGAAATTTGATTTGTCAACGTACGATCGAGTTAGGTTGATGACCGGCAGGCAGGCGGGAAGAGTTTCAATCAAAATCGAAAACGACGTCCCCTTCTGCGCTCTTCTGCCTACCGTTCATTTTCATCAGGCCGGTGCTCTATAATATGCCCGTAATCTCAATGATATGTAGGGAGAGAGGGTAGTGGACGCATCAGGAAAGCGGTAATTAAGTCACCGTGTTGGAACAAAATTGCTTCTGTTTTTTGCTGTTAATGTTCCAACATCAGCCTCCTATCAAATTCTCCAAATGACAAGACATTCATACAAGTGGTTTCTCTTTATTTCTGATACGAGATTTGAAGGCTATCACCATAATGGTTTCTTATCAACGGTTAATGAGACACATTGTTACGTGTACGCGTCCTTCTTTGGTAGGTTGAAGCTACGGCTCCAAGTTGTTCGTCATTCGGTTCGAGGAAAACTCGTTCGATGTTCAATTCGGAGAAAAATTGGATTGATGTTTAAGAAATAATTTCGGAGTTGCATAGGTATGGTGTTGATCTTGGAGAAAAAATTGTCTACTTGTATTATTGATAATTGGGTGAAAATTTACATAGTCTTATTTACATATATATACATAATCTGCAGCTGTAAAATAAACAAACAAACATCATAATAAACAAACATTGCAATACAGTTCCTATATTACTAATTCTTTAAAACTGAGTCCTCCAACAGCCCCCCGCAAGCTGGAGCGTGAATATCCACACGGTTCAGCTTGGAGATGAGACCTGCAAACACGATACTTGCCAAAGACTTGGTGAAAATATCAGCGAGTTGATTCTCACTGTTAACAAACAATACTTTAATCAATCCTGACAAAATGCGATCACGAACGATGTGGCAATCTATTTTTATATGCTTTGTTCGTTCATGAGCTACTGGATTCTCAGCTAAGCGAATGGTAGATTGGTTGTCACTAAACAGAATAGTGGGAGAGGTAAATGAAACACCTAAGTCACGAAATATGTAGTGCAACCACTGTACCTCACAAGTTAAGTCTGCCATGGCTCGGTATTCTGCCTCAGTGGAAGATCGAGAAAAAGTAGGTTGTTTCTTTGATCTCCAACTGATAACAGAATCCCCAAGAAACACACAATATCCAGTCACTGAACGACGAGAATCTGGACAGCCTGCCCAGTCACTATCAGAAAAACCAGTAAGCTTATAGACGAATCACTGGGATAAAATAGACCTTGTCCTGGGTTATTCTTAAGATATCTAAGGGGTCGTTTGGAAGTTGCGATTGTTAGTGTTGTATTTGTTAAATACATGCATTGTCCACAATACAACGTTTGGAAGTGTCAAGTTGCAATACAATGCATGTATTGTTTTGTGTGGGACCCACCAACAATCAACAAAAATGAGGGATTATACAATCTCAACTAAAAGTTGAGATTGTTGTGATTGTTGGTTTAATAATTGAGCACCTTTACTTTTTCCAATTATGTCTATAGTTCTTTTTGTTTTATATTAAAAGTGGAGGAGAAATATGACATTTCCTTATAAAGTAACTTTATAACAATCAATTCATAAATTATAATCTCAACAACCAAACAATGTAATTTCAAAATGCATCTATTGTTTCAATGCATGCATTTATATCATAGTGATTCATAACAATACAACGATTTAACATACGCAACTTCCAAACGACCCCTAAGTATTCTATAAGCAGAATTAAGATGTACATGAGTAGGTGCACTCATGAACTGAGTAAGATGATGGACTGCATACACAATATCAGGTCTAGTATGACATAGATAAAGTAAACGTCCTACAAGCCTTCTAAGAGTTTTAGGGTCAGAGAGAGGAGTACCATCATTTACAGAAAGCTGCCCTCCAGCAACAAGAGGTGTTGCAGCTGGCTTTGCAGCAAGTAATCATGCATCAGTAAGTAGATCAAGTGTATATTTTCGTTGGCAAACAGAAAACCCACCAGTAGAACGAGCAATTTCTAGCCCTAAGAAATATTTCAAATCCTTGATTTTGAAAGTATCATCTAACTGGGATTTTAGCAAGTTAAGAGACTCTAGATCATCTCCAACCAAAATTACATCATCTACATAGACTAGGACAGCAAGAAACTTTCCAGCAGTAGACTTGGTAAATAAAGAGTAGTCTGCCTTAGACTGTGTGTAACCAGCAGAAAGTAAGAATTGAGTGATTTTGTGGTTCCATTGACGACTAGCCTGTTTTAAACCATACAACGATTTATTAAGTTTACAAACAAGATTCTTAGATGGTAAAGATAAGCCCGGAGGAGGCTTCATATATACTTCTCCAACTAAATCACCATGCAAGAAAGCATTACTAACATCTAATTGTTGTACGTGCCAATTCTTAATTGATGCCAAAGCAAGTAAAGCACGAACAGTAGTAAGTTTTGCAACTGGTGAAAAAGTTTCCAAATAGTCCAGACCCGGGGTTTGAGTATACCCCTTTGCAACTAATCTAGCTTTGTATCTTTCTATACTACCATCGGGTTTAAACTTAATACAGTATACCCATTTATTACCAATAGCATGTTTACCTGGAGGCAGAGGAGTTAGAGTCCAAGTATTGGTATTAGCCAATGCTAGGAGTTCTAAATCCATTGCCTCAACCCACCTTTCATCCTTGGCAGCTTCTGTGTATGTAGTTGGTTCTGTCTCGTTTGTGATTGCCATGATGAAACGTCTATAAGCAGGAGACAACCTGTCATAAGAGAGAACTTGGGAAAGAGGATACTTAGTTTGAGCAGTAGGTCTAATAAAGTCACTAAGTTTCTTGGGAGGAACCCGAGTTCTATTAGAACGTCGAAGAGGCAGGCTGCTGCCAGTTGAAAGAGGTACATTACTGGATCAATGGTGGTAAATGGTAATTAATAAGTTGGTGATCATCATGTGACTATTTTCTCTGCTGATGGGGTTTAAATCTCCCAAATTGTGTTGGATGAGTGAGTACTCTGATTGATGTTTCTTTTTTGAATTTTGTAGGTGAGATGTTTGTTTGTTTGTTTGTTTGTTTGCCTAGTGTCGGTTTTATTTGTGTGGTTAATTAATTTCTGGTCCATCTTCTTTGCTTTGGTATAATAGTAGCAGTGTAGCACAAAACTGGTGTTGTAATCCCATGCCTCCAGTACTTTCTCATGTTTGATTTTTTTTATACATCGTGGCTCCCAACGTTTTTGGTAATTCGCGACGACAGGCAATATCACGAAAATGAAGACATATCTTGAAATGAAAGTCAAGTTGAAGGCTGTTTCATTTCAAGTATGTAAGACTTGAGGTGCATGCGATTTAAGATTTTGTCACGAGAAAGACATGTGTAGGGTACGTGAAGGGACTTCTTCGCTCCTAATGCAACATTTCATCTTGTTATATATCCGACATGAAAGTAGTGAAGTGATACTGTTTTTTGAATTTTATTTTTCACCAATTTTGAACTCTTGGTCCACTTGATAGTTATAACTAATATCCATTTTCCAGTAAAGAGTAAAGTACTCACTCATCCAACACAATTTGGGAGATTTAAACCCCATCAGCAGAGAAAATAGTCACATGATGATCACCAACTTATTAATTACCATTTACCACCATTGATCCAGTAATGTACCTATCTCTCTGATCCAGTAATGTACCACCATTGATCCACCATGCTAACAAAATAATTTCAGCATACTGGCCCCTCCCCTAGTTAAACCTGATCGAGGGCTCCAATATTAATAGTAGAAATAATAAGACTGATAATAATAGTAACTGTTAGTGTGACTTGAATCCGATGATTTGTCGTCGGTGTATGTGCTTCCACACAGTGTACGGACTTGCAGGCTAGACCTGGTATGTAACATTATTCTTTACCAAATTTTATTAGGGTTAGATAATTTAGAGAAGTACTATAAATACTTCTCATACTTCTCTGTAATATATATCGAAAAATCAAATCACCTCAAGTATACTGAAACGGCCTCTCTCCATGCCTGTGGACTAACCAACACACATGTTAATAGTTATAATTTATTTAGTCCTTCAACATTATATTATAGCTACTCATTTTTATTTTTATGAGTATACAGTTGAAGTAAAAATTCATATATATGAATGCACTTCCGCCTGCCTTCACGTCCATACAAGATGGAAAAGCCACTCCAAAACAGAATATACATATAATTACGGACCGTCTCCACCACTTCGCCATTTTTATCAATTGAATTTGTAATATTATTCCACACTGATGACCGATCGATATAAACCTAACTTGTACCTTTGAATGGAGTTCAGTGTCCTTTGGGGTCTTGTCCGGCCCAATCTCTCGAGCATCAAAATTAAGGGTGAAATTAGCACTTGCCCACACCACCAAAATTGAGAGACTTGTACGTGAAAATTCTATATATAGATTAGCCACCACCAGTTCAGTTAACTATCTGCAAAAGCAATCAAATGGAAATCATTAAGTTTGTATTTGCCCTTCACGTCTTGGTGCTTGTTTGTGCTTTTGCTTCCAACAAGCCTTTGAATTATGAAGCTTTCCACGACAACAATCCACAGATGATCACTATTACAACTACCAGGAAGCTGCTTCTTTCTCCCGGTAAGTTTCATTTATTAACTCTCCTTCCTCTTTCTTCACTTAAGTTGTTGAGACTAAATATATTACTCCGTTTGGATGCAGTTTCTCAAGAGAAGAATCAGCAGATGATCGCCGTTGACACCACCAAAAAGCGGCTTCTTGCATGGGGTAAGTTTCCTTCATCGATATTCTATGGGTTCGCT